GGATAATGAGCAGAGTGCTACCCCCCTCCCTTCCACTCCAACCCCACCCCCTGCAGCCAAACCTCAAATTGTAAACCACCTATCCCTGTTACTTCCTTGGTTGCAGCAGGGCACTTGTAAATCCGTTCTTTCAGAGATAAGCCTGCTTGATTGGTTACAGCTGTGGAATAGCCCAGGGCAGTCAATCAATCCAGGGCTTATGAATGACTGCTTCCACTGGAGATGACTGCAAGCAAACAGGAGGAGGAAAAGGTTAATGAGGGAAGGAAGGTGTGAGAGACCAAAGGCTTCCTCAAGCTTATTTAAATGTATGTAGAATGGAGCCCAAGAAAGTAAAATCTGTCACTGCCTCCATATCATCCCCTTCTGCAAAGGCATTCAAAATTGCACATGAGGAGGCAGTCAAAAAGTTGCTGCCTTTTGCAACAACCTACCTTTGTGAACAAGGATTTTCCATTCTTACAAACATAAAAACAAAGCAGAGAAATCGATTGGACCCTGAAGACTGTATTCATATTGCTCTGACGTCAAAATGCCCCAGTATTGATGCTCTCGTATCCAAGATGAAGCAACATCATTTCTCCAAATCCTGAAATTTTCAAGTAAGTTGATGCTTTCAAAGTAATTGTGAATAGATTCAATAAGATTTTAAATTCAAATACTGTATCATTTCCTTCCTTTCAAATCAAGGGGGTAATGTCAGCTTATATAAATTTTGGGGGGAAGGGAAAAAGATACAAAAGTTACCTGACCCCTGTAATAGGAGGTCAGTTTTGCATACGACCATGACATCTAAGAAAGGGAGTTGGCCCTCTATTTCTTTTTCCATGGTGAATTGTATATTTGGGTGGACGTTGTTGAGATGATTTAGAAATTCTTCCATTTTTTCTTCACCATGGTTCCAAATTGCGAAGGTGTGTCATCCACATATCGGAACCAGATTGTGGGTGCAAAGCGTGCCAAAGCCAGGGCCTGTTTTTTGAAATGCTCCATGTAGAAGTTTGCTATAACCGAGCTGAGGTTATAGCAAACTTCTACCTGGTAAGATTTTGATTGTTTTGAGCTGAAAATAGCTGTAGTACAGTGGTGCTTCACTTAACGAGCGCACCGTTTAACGATGAATTCGCATAGCGACGCGGTTTTTGCGATCGCTAATGCGATCGCATTGCGATGTTTTAATAGGGAAAACATCACATTGCGATGATTTACAGATCTTCGCATTGCGATGTTTTTTAAACAGCTGATCGGCGGTTCCAAAATGGCTGCCGCATCCGCAAAATGGCCGCCCGCAGCATTTTTACGCCCTGCCCTCGCTTACTGGGCAGTGAAAATTGCAGCCGGATCAAGGATTTCCCGCATAGCGGTGGGTTTTCGCCCCAATAGGAACACATTAAACCCGTTTTAATGCGTTCCTATGGGGTTCCCCCCCCCCGCATAGTGACGAATCCAGATAGTGACGTTAATCTTGGAACGGATTAACGTTGCTATGTGGGGCACCACTGTATTTATATTTTTAAGATTAGTGGATTGTATTAATTTCACTTTGTATGAAAAAGAAGGTTATCAGCTACTTGAGCAAAGCAGTCATTGTGGCGTATCCTTGATTCTGCACTTGCAAACACTTCTGTGGACATTGGCCATTTTGATACCATGTAATATATTGAAATTTCCATGGAGGGCTATTAGCAATTACTACATTAAAACAATTTAAAACCACTTTGGGGGGGGGAGTAAAAATGCACTATTCCCCCATTAAAAGTCCTTTCCTCTACCCCTCATAAGCTGGCAAAAGCCTGACTGAAGAGAAAGGTTATTTATTTATTTATTTGCAAGATTTTTTTTTTAGCCATGCCATTACCAATGGTCTCTGCCAGTAGAAGGATTTGGGGGGAGGGGGACAATTTAGCCTTCCTTGGAAGGGAGTTCCATGACTGTAGAGCAGGGAACAAAGTCTCTGTTGTGCCCTCACCAAATGTGCCTGTTTGACAGAAGGGCTTCAGATCTGAAAGCTTGGCAGGGCTTATATGGGTAGAGATGGTCCTTCAGATAACCTGGGTATAAATCATGCAGGACTTAGAAGGACATAACCAGTACTTTATATTGTGTCTGGAAATGGACTGATACCCAGTCAAACTATTGCTTAAAAAGAAAAAAAATTCTATTCTCCCTGTGAATAGCTCTGGTCAACAGTCCCTAGTATTTTGGATGCACCACAGTTTCTGAACACTTGCATTGTCATTTTTCATTGTTGGCACCATCATCAACTACGTTCTGCTGTGAAATACAGTAGAAGCACTACACTTGATGCCAGCAGCCATGCTGTTGCCACTCCTACAGTGACAATCAGAAGAGAGACGCCCCAACCAGTCCCTGCTTTGCAACCCATACCGAGTTAAGCAACAAGCAGGATTCATCTTGCAATGCAATAAGGCTCAAAATGCACAAAGCAAGATGGCATCTTTGCTGCACCCAAGCATTCCGTTCTATCTGAATTTAGACCTTTAAAAATGAGACACATTTGAATGTGTAAGGGATGTGGTGGCGCTGCGGGTTAAACTGCAGAAGCCTCTGTGCTGCAGGGTCAGAAGACCAGCAGTGGTAAGATCGAATCCACGCGACAGAGTGAGCTCTCGTTGCTTGTCCCAGCTCCTGCCAACCTAGCAGTTCGAAAGCATGTAAAATGTGAGTAGATAAATAAGTACCACCTCAGTGGGAAGGTAACAGCGTTCTGTGTCTAAGTCGCACTGGCCACGGGCCCACGGAAACTGTCTATGGATAAATGCTGGCTCTATGGCTTGGAAATGGGGATGAGCACCGCACCCTAGAGTCGGACATGATTGGACTAAATGTCCAGGGGAACCTTTACCTGAATGTGTGGAATGTGAGCTGTAACTTTGCACACTATATTTTCTGACCATGGGGCACATCTGTTAAGAAGCCTCTTAGGACTTTGTTTAGCTGTGGTGAGAGAACAGGGAAAAAGGAACGGAGTCTTCATTTTGGCTTCAGTGTTGTAGCCTGGAAAAAGTGGCAAAGATAGACTGCTGTGCACTCCAATCCCAGCCAATTTGCCACCTTTCAGGCAACCAAATATCAAACATGTCTATTCAGTTGGTGGAAGGAAGAGAGGAGGAGAGTGTTACCACTCATTAAGCCACCTCTGGCCTCCAGCCTGTGCAGTCTCTTATTCATGTACATACCCACACCCCTTCTGACTATTCACCTGTGAGCCCTGCTGGCCCCACCAGGACCAATGGGCACTTCCTCCTCCATCTCCTGATCCATTGAGATGACACAGGTAGCTTCAAACAAATGGGGGTTTATTGAAACTTGGATAAAGGGGTTAATAATTGTTTGCTCAGGTGCTGTCATAGTCCCAGGGCTAGTTGACTTCTCTACCCAGTTTCTCCACATCCCTACTTCATTGCACTGAGGTGGGGGAGGGGAACTATAGTCTGCTTTAGGGGTGGTCATCCCAAGGTCCAAAAGCTGGGGTCCCTGAGAAGTGAGGGCTGGTGTATTATTGGCTCTGGTCAGGTGGACGTTGGGACCTGTGACCACTGCTGTTTTTGGAGGCAAAGCTGATGCTCCCTCTGCCATTTCCTCCACTAGCATCTTAGCTAAGTTGGAGTCATCTCCCCTGGACGTATCCCTACTGGGTGTATCTGTGCCAATATCTCTTGTCCTCCCCAACTCCCAATCGTAAGGGTGAGGTAGTAATCTTGGGTTGTTGTGCTTAGCACTTTCAATTGAATGATGCCTCCTCTCCAAGGGTCCATTTCTGTGACATTCTTTTATGAATCCCTCAGGTTTGGGGTCTTCCTCTTCCTCCACATTATAGGCTTCACCTATCTACTCAGGGGCATCTCCCCAGGCCCTCTTCCTCCTCTGTCTTGAACTCCAGTCCTACCCCCAATCTCCCCCAGGGTGCCTTTTGTATTTTCTAATCACTCTCACACATTGATGGCTCCTTTATCTGAATTGCAATATACCAGGCTTGCTTTTGCTCCACTTCTGGGTCTGGCCTTTGTGGTGCTTTATTCTTTAGAACAATGGGCCAGGTCAAGAGTGCTCTTGTGAGCATCCTTCTCAGACCAAATTTCTCACAAGTTACCCATTGGATTCTCTTTATTGTCTAAGCTTCAGACCTAAGCAGGTAGGCTTCATCATTGTATAAGAGCCTAAGTAGTTAAGGGCTTGTTCTTTGCTGATTTATGGGAACTGGATATTTTCTCCACATTGCATCCTCTGCCACTCATCTTCTTACTGCATTTCTCCTCACCATCACTCTTCCTCTATGGCAATCCTGTTTGTTATATAAATAATATACTTTTATTATCTTGGTTGTTCTTCTTCTAGGTGCTTCTCCCTCTGATGCTCTTTTGATAAAGCCCTCTAACCAAAAGAATGAAGGTGATAAACCAGACAGAAGACTGGTCCATCCATATCCCCTCATTCTGACAGTACAGACTACCTTCAGCCAGCTGTGTCTCCTCTCAGAGTTTGAGAAAGGGTTCCCCCCCACCTGTTTTTTGTTTTTTGCATTATAGCTCCCAGTATCCTATAGTCGGGGGGTCCATGGCTATGTTGACTGTGCCTTCTGGGAGTCATAGTAGAAAGGAGACACTTCTCCCTGTTCTGCTGTCTGTTGCCTTTTTCTGTTCTTGACTGCTGAAATTGCTCCTCATACACAGAAGGTGCCTATCTGTCCCGTTCTTTCAGCTGTGGGCAGTGGGTGTGGCAATTCTTCCTATTTTGAGGGATTATTTATAAATTTATTTTTGACAACCTATCTCGGGTTCATAAATAAACAGTTCTAGGTGCTTGGGTTGCAGATATTCCTGGTCGGAGTGTGGTGGTGGTTGACAGTTGAGTAGCAGAAGGGTGATTGGTTAGCATGATTGGAATGTTGTGGAAGGGTGGTCAGGAGGTCTAGTGAGGGTCTAATTGAGAGAGAGCTGTTTAGAGAGAGAGAGAGACATCAACAAGTGAGAGCAGAAAGCTGAAGGAAGTTAAAAGTCTGTTTGAAAGTCTGCAGTACAGTTTATGATGAGAAGTGTGTCTATAGCAGTTTGTGTCTCTCTGTGTGTGTGTGTGTGTAAGGAAGATTGAGAATCTGTAATATAATTATTTTGAACTTTAAATTCTGAAGAAATATATTTAGATCTTATTGTTGCTTTAATCCTTATTATGCATATCCAAGAATCTACCTTTCCTTTCTTACTTGTTATCTATAGTCCCTCAATTTTGATTGTTAGAACCAGTTCCTCATTTTTTGTTTTATATAGGACTAAGAAAAGGGAATCCTGACTACTGCTGAAGGAAAATACACCCCTATCACATGAAGCTATGCTTTGCCAGTAGGAACACAGTGTTTTATTGAGATTGAGAGACACTTTCGCAGAACACATGAATTATCTTGGATACCAGCGTGGAGTGAAGGATGCTCTGGCTGGGACAGTATAAAAGGAACAATCCTAAAATATTTGGAAGGGAGTTTGAGGGGTGCTTGTTCTTGTAGTTTTACACCTTCCCTAGTACCACTAATGTGTGACCTCTAGCATTTTAGGCATTAAAAGTTCTGAAAGGGTGTTGAAGTGGTACCTGTGACCAACTGCCTGGGAAGTGTGTGACCCAGCTAGTGTGAAAATTAGTGGAAAGGTCAGTGACTCCCTGAACCAGAACATCATAGTGGAGACGAATGATCTTCCAAATTATATGATCTTTCATCTAATTGACTTAAGTTCTTTCCATTTCAATTAAAATAAATCAACGACTCATATTATTGTCTGTGAGGAAGGAAAAAACAGCTGCCAAACAGTTCATCCCTATGTCTGAAATTGTTGCCCTATTTAATTGGTTCACTTCAGACTAAAGTCTTTCATGAACTTCAATGGATTTTAAGCCAGGTCTCTGCCTAACTAGTCCTCTGCCTTTTAGTGTTGATTGTTGTCATGGAAACAAAAATGTCTCTGGTTGCTTTGTGATGTCAGGCTACATTCTGGCAGGTGAAGAGTGAGAGAAGAGGCCACAGTGTAGAGAGCCTTCGGAGAACATCCTGTCTAAAGTATTCTCTTTGGGGTAGAAGAAATCCTTGTGGACCCTCCACTTTGATGTGATAGAGGTAGGCAAGACCACTTGGCTTTGTGGACAAAACATCATGATGGAATTCAACTGAGGAAAACAAGACTTCTCTCTTCCTGGGAGAAATGGACTGATCAGCAAGAAAGGAAGGACCTATTAACTGTGAACAGCTGGTTTACGCCTTTATGTCAGTTCCCCAAAAGGGTTGACCCAAGTGGCCTTATTGATATACTGCGAACAGGCAGTTTGTTTGTCTATGGTGACTTCATTAACAATGTGGCAGAAATAGTGGGTTATATTCTTTTTCTCCGTGGAAGAAGGGCACATTGGGGCAACAGAGGAGTCCTAATTGCTGCCTCCCATGTTTCAAGTGATTATTTATATGTGCCTAGCCGTATCACTGAATCTGCATATTAAGTATATTTCATTGTTAGGAGCAGTTTAAAGAGACTTGTTTGCTAGGCAAGCATAATAAACATTCAAAGCCTTTTACTAAAAGGTATAAATATTACTGCATTTAAACCTATTATTTTGCTACCACAGAGCAATAGGCATAATATAGAGGCTTTGCTAGACTCTGATTCGAGTACAAGTCATTTACAATTAGGACTGACAGTTTGTGTCTGTGCTACCTGCAATGTGGAAGCAGTTGGAAGGAACTATAGCGAAGGGAAAAGGGGGGGGGTTGTCTCCTTCACAAATGTGGTACAAATGGGTATCTTGTCAGAGGTTGAGTAAGTAAAGTCAGTCCACTCAATCAAGAGTCTAATGTTACCTAGTTGTGCTAAGGGAGGAAGGTGCATGTGCTGTATATTTTCAGACCATGCTCTAGGATTAAGGAAATTTGCTGCCAGAATCATATTTGTCAGCCAGAATCCTGTTAGTTACTACACCATGTCAGACCAATGGCCTAAACTACATCAGCAAATTGCCACTAATTAAATTGTTGACATTAGTATTTCTCAGCATGGACCATGTGTCACAAGTAGCCATACAATAAGGAATACAAACACCAACTTTTTAACTAGTGTCAATTTGCCACTTCAGTTTTACACCACTATGCTTACACTGGCATATATAAATAATAGGATTTTGGCCACTGTTTATCTAAATTCTACAGTTCTTTACAGAATATTAGGTGCATATACAGATGTGATATTGTGTACCAAATCTCATTTAGATTTTCCTCACAAATGCAAATAAATACACAGTTTTCTTTCCAGCAATAAGGCATTTAAATGATCTTAGGCTGCAATGCTATGCACATTTTTCTGAGAAAAAGTCCCACTTGGTGGAATAGACATAATTTTATGTAGAAATGCATAAGATCACACTGTGAATTCTTACCTAGATTAATCAAAACAACATGCATTTCATGCCACAAAATTACTTTGTGTAGGAACATTTTTCACTACATGTAGAAATATACATACAGTATTGCCCACTACATAGTGGATACACAGAGAGATAATATGTGTATCACTAAACATAGAAATTACATCTTACTACGTCTGCCAAGTACTATTTGAGTTATGAAACAAATGACAAGTTAAAATTACTTTGTGTAGGAACATTTTTCACAACACGTAGAAATACAGTATACATACAGTATTGCCCACTACATAGTGGATACACAGAGAGATAATATGTGTATCACTAAACATAGAAATTCCACCTTACTACGTCTGCCAAGTATTATTAGAGTTATGAAACAAATGACGAGTTCCCCCCCCCACAAGATTAGGAGAAAGGTGCAAATAATGTAGAATGATGGGCTGAAATAGAGAAAAAGGATGGCATGCCCCCCACACACACACACACAAGATTAGGAGAAAGGTGCAAACAATGTAGAATGATGGGCTGAAATAGAGAGAAAGGATGGCATGTCTGCAGCATAACTTTTTCATTTTCCTTATATTCAAAAAAGGGCACTCACAACCATCATAGTGCACATTTCACCAAAATATCCTCATGTACGATAAGACCATGATAGTAAATGGGTGCTGCATTGTAATACATTAATTTTATTTTAATCGGGTGGTGGTGAAGGAGGATCTTTTAGTGGTCTGAGCCTATGGCTGTGGTTTGGTGGAAGAAATGTGACCGCCCAAGAAGGTATATCCACTCTGTGGAGAGATATCAACAGAAACGATTTTGTTCCTCTTTTGTAGATTTTTCTTCCCTATATATGGCAGCTTATGGAAGCCATTCCTGAACACTGTGAGTGTCAAAAAAAAACTTTTCAGAACGTGCTTTTGTCCTATGAAACAGTTGACGAAGAATGGTAAGTTGAAAAAAAAAACTGATAAAGGATTGTTACAAAACTCTTATTGGGAATCATGAAAATGTCAAAGAGATTTGCTACATTGTATTTGCATCTGCAGCTACTTTCAGCTATTGGAATAGAATTTTTTTACTGGATCGGTATAAACAACAGTTTTATGCTGTTATTTTGTAGGGCAGCTAACTGTTGTTACATCCTTAAAATATTATGATTGGTGATTCAAATGTTTCAAAATCTTGATGTTAATGTTAGCCTAGGTTGTCTACTGAATTCTTTTTATTGCTGCTTTTCATACTGCTGTGCCTAAATTTGTTGTCTTTGGGCTTTCTACCGCAGGTAGAAAAACTATGATATAAATAATTGAATTTAAATTAAATATCCTGAAGAGAATCCGTGCTAGCAGTGTATGAGGTGGCATTCTCAGCAGGCTCATTGCAATTGCCACAGTTGCTGCTGCATGATGTGTGGCTGCACTGTTCTAGATGGTTACAACAAATCTTGAGCACTCCTTGGCTGCTGCAGCCAATTATATACTGTGTTGCTTACATAGAAAGCACAAGGATTATGCTTGTATAGAACAAGTGACCCAAATTATATGTGATAATATCTGACCTGTTTCATGAAAACAAGATGGAAAGTTTTGAAAGTTACTTTTTTAAAAAGGTTGCTCTTACAGTTCCAAAGATAAGAGTTGATCTAAGAAGGCCCATTCATTCAGCGAGTCTACTCAAACTAGGACTAATCCTTGGAATTAGACCCTGGTAGATTTTTGTTCTTGTTTTTGCTTTTAAATAAACCCTGCAAATTTTTGCTATTGCAAAATTGCAGTGCCCTGCTTGTAGCCACACAATTGCTAATTCACAGAGTTTGACATTAGTATGTGGCTTCACTTTTGAAAAAATATCCAATGTGGGAAAGAGGCTTAGAACAACAGATGTAAGGAGGGAAATTACCACTTGTAAATTTCATTCTGGTTGAAAACGTTTTCTTTGTCCTAGATGACAGAAAGCATTGACTGGTTGAACAGTCACAGTCGACTGTGTAAAGTTGATCGTTACACCCCCAATGACGAGGAGGAACAAAACTGGATGGTAAGACATAGGCCCTTATTCCAACAGGATTTATTTCCACAAGAAGGGAAATGTGTTTGCATGAACAATAATGCAGTAGATACTATATATGTGGTTAAAAAAATAGTGAGTACTCCATAGGTGGAGAAGGGAATACAGTTTACTTTGCAGTTACATTTTCAGCTACATTTCTCAAAATCAGTAGGGCATGACTACTGATGTGTTATAACATAACGCATTGTGGAAAGTTTCTTTCCCATCTTAATTACTTTTCTCAGAAATAATCCTAATGTGGACACAGAATCTTATTTTAAGGTGCATAGAAATGGACCCTTAGGACAGTCCTTGTTTCCTACAGAAAGGTATTTCATCATCCATGTTGAACTCTCATCTTTGTTGATTGAGGTGGTTATGATTTAATGAGATACTTCAGCAAGGATTTTGAAAGCTTGTGAGATTTCTCATCTCCACCAATAGTGAAGCAAATAGCTTTCCTTTTTTAGGAATAATCTTAGAATAATAACTTTAGAACTGCGGGGCTCACAGTGAACCTATGGATCATCAAGTCCAGTCCTTGTCAAGAAGGCACAGTGGGGAATTGAACTCTTAACCTCTGACTCTGTAGCCAGATACCTAAATCACCGAACTATTCAGGTTTCTCTAACTTCCACAAAATATGTACAAAACTAGTGCTGTTTCCCATTCAACAGCCAGCTGCACACACAGCAATCACAAAAAGACTACTTGATTGTTAGGAAAGATGCAAATAACCTACCCAATCCTTAAGGTTATTTAATTACCAAAAATCAAAGGTGTTCTTGCTCCAGTGCTGTACAAGTTTACACACACACATACACATCCTTGCAGTTTGGGGGACATAGCTGAGAGTGGCAGAACATCTCATGCAGTCTTCACAGGTAAGAAAAATGGTACAGTTCCTTCTGCTCAACTGCAACAACAAGATGATGGAGGACTTCTTACTATGACTGGAGGCAGTTCTAGAAGAAAACGTGTAGACCCAGCTTTTGAAACTGATTTAGAGCCCCAAAGCTGGTGAGCCCAATGCATGTACTCAGACAGAAATTAAAGACCAAAATTGGTCAGGCAGGAGGGGCAAAAACTGAACACATGCAATGCTTGAAATATTGAAATCTTGGACACTTCACTCTACAAAGAATCCATTTCAACTGGGAAAGATGGATCTTTCCTTGAAGCCCTGATTATTCACCATCTGTTACTGATGACTGTGGCCTCCATGGCTGCCATTTTGTCCCCATTTTGCCATATTTGGGTGTTGGTTTTCTTTTATTGTACCTTAATGAAGGATGAGAATAGGAGGCAGGGTACTGCTGGCTTTTACTTTTTGTTTTATTTATTTTTAGTATTTACTTGTCACCCCTTATATAAAACCTGGGGCAATACAGGCCAAGAAAATATTATGTTTTATTATAATACAATGGCTGAAATCTTCACATAACATAAAGTTATCCCTGCAAAAATTTACCAGTTGTTATACTCAAGCAAGAAGAATGGCACAACTCTATTTTGCAATTGATTTAACACCTTTACTGTCTCACTGGAGTCTGATAAAAAGAGGTAGAGTTGTATTTGATCGGCATACCAGTTGCATTGCGATCTGTATTCAGCAGCTGCAGATGTTAATATATGAGACTGTCCTCAAACAGAAGAAAAGCGGAAAGTCGAGTTGATATTGCAACATGAATAGATTGGATATCAGTACCGTACATTTTGTGTTCTCCTCTGCCTCCTTTTTTCTCCCCTCATATCCCCCTCTACCTTCTGTACCCCTTACCTTATCCCAAGTTGTTAATAATATATATGAGGCTGTCCTTATCCTGCCCTAAATGGCAAGGTAAATACAAGCTTCCCCTTCTATTTTTGTTTAGAGTGTCCATCAAAATATCAGGGACATCGGTTCAGCTTTTTAATTTAAGGTCAGTGGGGTAGATTTTTTTTTAATCATAGCTAGGGTGGAGATGCACACCAAAAGGTCTCTGTCACCTCAAAAGCTGTAGTGAACTGTGCTTTAGGATTTTTATGTGGATTACATTGCATTGAGACACATCACTAGTTTGTCTCTTTGGATTTTTTTTACCATTGTATCAAGAGATGTAAATCCCCATGTGAATCCTTACAGGTATGAGCAAGGAATCAAACCATTCTTCTTCTTAGCTGTGAAGACTGTCATTGATTTCATTACTCTCTCAAATTATTCCTAGTGTTTACAAGGATGACTTTTTGAGCAAAATATAGCAATAAATAAAACAACAAAGCAGTAAAAAAACTGGAATGACTGCTGCTTTGTTTCATAGACACTTGTCAAATTTATATTGTATATGGTTTGGTTTGCATTTGTCTTAACCAGTCTTGTTGTGCTTGCTTGTTCTGTGTGCTTATAGAGACTTTAGTGGGGAGTGAAGGACCCTTGTCTCACTCTCAGATGGAGATAAGGAATCTCACAGAGATGTCAAATTCCTCCCAAAAGTATATTGTGGAGTGAAGAATTTCATGAGTAGTCTTCACATTCCTATTTGTATCAAACTGAGAAGGAAGAGATAAGAGGATCCCCCTCAGAAACTGGTACAAAGCTTTCCTTGCACCTGCTACAGAAGATGCAGGGTGTATGTTCTGCATCCCCCTCCTGGGTTTGTTCTGGGGGGGTCAATCTTCTTTTCCCCTTCTTGAGGCTTTCCTGGAGTGATGCATCATAGTTAAAGTCCCTTTCTTGCAGAAGTAGCAGCAATTAGGTGTTTCCACTGGTGGCTTCTTCTTCTTCTTCTTTGGGGTGGGGGGTGGGGGGAAA